AATCAGCCACACTAGTACGCCGAGTTTCCAGACAACCAATCGCAATGCGCCGCGTCTCTCAAGTTAGTCAATAGCTTTGTAAAGTAAGCAGCGGCTTGCTCTTTAGATGTAGCTGCGCGATGTAATAGCCAGTTCGTACTCGATCGTTGAGCAAGGTGCACGCACCTTTGCATGAGCACAGACATACGCCTCTTTTTCAAAGTTTTACACGCACACTTTAACGATCAATTTACTGCCGTTCTTTATAACTCTATTACTTCTATTACTTCTCGTTTTAATTATTCCGAATCTTTACATCAGAATAGTAAAGTGTTTGTATCAATATTATTAATTTGGTGTTTCTATTCAATAAATACTTTTAAGAGTGTTAAATATAAATCAGTCTTATTTACTTAACATAGAAACACACTCTTGCTCCGATACTCAACATTTTCGGCGCTCGAACAGGGACCAATCGAATAGTGAAATAAGTAGTGTGCCACGTGGCGTAACAGTCGAGTGCATTTAATGTCACCGCCAAGTCGCTCTGTCTGCCATATTGGAAGTCTCAACGACCATGCGAACGGCAAGGCGACATTGAGGTCGTCTTGTTGAAGTGTGTGCTCATTAGAAAGTAAAGTGTATAGTGTCGTTACGCACCATTAATAGCGCGCGGCACGCGCAACAGCCTTTAGCCATTGTGACAACACCTCCAATTTTAGTGTTAGCTATAAGTTTAATACGCTGGTTCACTTTAGTTTACGTAGGTGCTGTACTCATACGTACACACACATGTAGAGCGCGGCTCTCTCATAACCATTATATCCGCCATCTTTTGATCGACGATTCTTCTTAGTTTACGTTGGTGTTATACCCACATGTACACACACACATGTAGAGCGCGGCTCTCTCATAGCCTGTATAACAGCCATTTTGTGACTTAGTTCTTTCTTTCTAGTACGTCATTTCTTCGCCTACGGTGAAGTAATAGCTCATCATTGCTACAATTGCTGCAGACAGGTCATGCCTGTTCCTGCCTGCCCCACCCGCAAGTTGACGTCGCCTGCTTGAGTTGCAAGCCCTCTACACCTGTAGCAGGCTGTCCATGCCTGCCCCACCCGCAAGTTGAAGTCACCTGCTTAAGCTGCAGGCCCTCTACACCTGTAGCAGGCCATCCATGCCTACTCCACCAGCCAGTCTACGTTGCCTGCTTCAGCTGCAGGCCCTCTACACCTGTAGCAGGCTGTCCATGCCTGCCCCATCCGCAAGTCAACTTCGCCTGCTTGAGCTGCAGGCCCTCTACACCTGTAGCAGGCTGTCCATGCCTGCCCCAGCTGCAGTCCACATCGGTGCCTGCTAGTACAGCAAGCCATTCTCGACGCACGCTCTTGCAGTTTTTCTGCGGGCCACTTATGTCTGCTGCCGGATCTTCAGTATAGAATTCTTGTGCTAGTAGAGACTCTAAGTTTTAGATTAAGATCTTAGTTTTAGTTTTAAGTTTCTCATTTGAAAATTAGTGTGCCGTTTACGAATATGGAAGATCTTTATTCCACACAGACTAAATTGCACAAAAGGATTAGCAATTGCTTTGAAAACTGTAAGAAATCAGGTAGTGAAAGGATGTCTCGTGGTAGAGCAGAAGCTATGGTACAGGCTTTGGAAGATTATTTAGAAAGACTTCGTAAAAATCATCAAGACATTCTTTCACTTACTGATTTAGATTATAAGCATTTATATTTTACTCGTGAACTTTTTGATATGACTGAGGACACGTTCTATTTAGTAAAAGGAGATTTTGCTGTGTACATTAGATGTCTCCCTTCTGAAAACCCCCCACCCGCTCTAAACCCAAATCCCACTTTGGTGGTTCTGCCCATTAGTAATTCTTACCTCTCAAGAATCGAACTTCCTAAGTTTACTGGTAAATATTCTGATTGGGAGAATTTTTGGGATACCTTTAGGTCTTTAGTGCATCGGAAGGCAGATATCGATAATATTATTAAATTCCATCAATTACGTACTCATTTAGGTGGCGAGGCCTTAGACTTAATTGAATCTATTCATTTAGCAGAAGATCAATACCCTACAGCTTGGCAAACTCTCATCGAATATTATGATAGTCATCGTCGTATGGTTACTAGCTATTTGTCTAGCATTATGAATTATAAGGCTATGAAATCTGAGTCTTGTACCGAGCTTAAACGGATTTATAAAGAAATGCTGAATCCTATAGACTCACTTCAAGCTATGGGTCGTGACTTAGGAAGTAGCGATCTTTATATTGCTACAGTAGTTAGTAGGTTTGATGCTTCAACGAATAAAGATTGGCAAAAGTTTCTCGGTAGCGAGTCCCAACCTCCTACTCTAACTCAATTAAAGCAGTTCCTAAATTCTCAAATCATAACATTAGAGGCTTGTGAGAATTTATCAATTAAACCTCAACTTAGCAAAGTTAGTAGTAAATTAGCTATTGTAGCTTCTCATCAGTCAATCCTTGATTGTGAATTAGTAGCTAGTAATGTTACTTCGCAAAGCCCTCAAAAGTGTGTAGCTTGTCAAGGAGATCATTCTCTTGGTAAATGTGAGTCATTCAAGACCTTTTCACTAGATTCTAGAAGGGATTTAGTTAGTCGACAACGGTTGTGTTTTAACTGTCTGGGTAATCATTTGATTAAAAATTGCAAATCCAAGGGCACTTGCTTAACCTGTAAAAGGAAACATTATACCCTGTTGCATATTTCCAAACCCCAGCAGGTTGAATCTTCTGAGGCTTCTCAAGTCATTGATTCTCATGCACTTTCATCTCAACATTGTGAAGTACCTCAAGCCGTCCATCATAGTAAAGATTCTCTCTCTAGAGGTATTGGTGTACTATTGGCCACTGTTCGTCTCTATGTCCTGGGCCCCACAGGTATTAGATTGATGGTAAGGGCTTTGGTGGATCAATGTTCCCAGTGTTCAATCGTTTCTGATGCTCTATGTACATTGTTAAAACTCAAACGTCCAAGTTCAAATATCCCAATTAGTGGTTCTGGTGGTACTTTAGTTGGTATAGCTAAGAGTGTAGTTGAATTTACTATTTCGCCTAGGTTTCCTTCGGAGTTTAAGCTGTCCGTCACTGCTAAAGTATTATCTCGGGTTTCTTCATATCGGCCACCTGTTAGTCAATGTGTTTCAAGTTTTAGCCATTTGGAAGGTTTAGAATCAGCTGATCCTTGTTACACAAGTATGGATAATATTGATATCATACTTGGAGCTGATGTGCATGCTCAAATAGTCGAAGGGTCAGTCCGAAAGGCAAACTTAATGAGCCTATTGCTACTCGTACTTTATTAGGGTGGACTCTTTCAGGTTCTATGGGCTTCGAGGAAGCAACTAGTGGTAGTGCAGTTTCTTTGTATTGCGCTGAAGAGGATCAACTTATTCCCTTGTTGAAGCGTTTTTGGGAAATAGAAGAACTCCCTGTTGATCCAAATTCTCTTTGGACAGGGGATGAAAAAGCTTGCGAACAACATTTTATTGACACCCATTACAGAGATAGCACTAGTAGATATGTAGTTAGACTTCCATTTAAGACTGATCCGAAACCCTTAGTTAAAGAACGTGATGACGCTAAGACTCTGTCTTTCACTATGCAGAAAAATTTAGAGCGTAGATTTCATAATAACTCAGTATTGTTTGATGCTTATAGTTTGTTTATGCGTGAGTATATCGATCTTAATCACATGGTGAAGTTAAAACTCGATGAGACCAATAATTGTTGGATCTTACCCCACCATGGAGTAATTAAACTTGTAAGTACAACAACGAAACTCCGTTCTGTGTTTAATGGTTCAGCTAAATTTAAAGCGGGCATCTCTCTGAATAATTTACTTCATGTTGGGCCCAATTCATTGTGTAATCTTTTTTAACTTATCACTTCTTGGAGATCTTACAAGTTTGTTTTTTCGTCTGATATAGAAAAGATGTTTCGTCAGGTTTGTGTAGATGAGATTGATCAAAAACATCAGTGTATCTTTTGGCGCTTCTCTAGTTTAGAACTGGTTTTAGCTGATCAATTGAAAACCGTGACTTATGGCCTAGCTTGTTCTCCGTACCTAGCTTGTAGAGTGATCAAGCAGTTGGTTAGTGATTACGAATTTGAGTTCCCTTTAACTTATCCCATTTTGATGAAAGAAATTTATATGGATGATGTTTTGTCAGGAGCTCATAGATTAAATGACGCAGTTGAAAAACGAGATCAGCTCTTCAAGGTTATGTAATTGGGTGGTTTTTCCCTTAGGAAGTGGTCTTCGAATGATCCAGACGTTTTGGCTGGTTTGCCCAGTACACTTTTATAATCTTCGCCCATTATTCCATTGAATGAAGGTGATTCTTCGGTAGAAGTGCTCGGCATCGTCTGGTATCTTAAAGAAGATGTTTTTAGTTTTCCAGTTAAATTTCCTTTAGTACCGACATCATGGACCAAAAGAGCTGTACTCTTCCATATAGCTAGATTATACGACCCACTTGGTTGGTTAGGACCTGTCGTTATTTTTGCTAAAATTTTCATGCAATCTCTGTGGCTTCTTAAATTAGAATGGGATTCGTTGATACCAGAGAACTTATTATCAAACTAGCTTCGTTGGTTTCAAGAAATCCAATTATTCAATCAAATTAGAATTCCTCGTTGGATTCAATTTTCACCAGTTGTTCAAGTTATAGAGCTGCATGGTTACGCTGATGCTTCTAAACTAGCCTATGCAGCTGTTTTATATCTGCGTGTTGTTGCTAATCAAGAATTTTATGTTTCACTTTTATCGGCTAAAACGAAAGTAGCCCCTTTTAAAACATTAAGCGTTCCGAATCTCGAACTTTGTGCTGCCCAATTGTTATCAAAGTTAGTACACCATAACAGTCAAAGTCAGGACCACAGAGTAGACGCAGTCCATCTGTGGTCTGATTCGAAGGACGTGTTGTATTGGTTAAGTTCTCAGCCGTCTCGTTGGCCTACTGTCGTAGCTAATCGTTGCAGTAATATCATGCAGTTAGTTCCTACAGCTACGTGGCACCATGTTTCAGGTAAGAACAATCCTGCTGACATAGCCTCTAGAGGCGTTTGTCCCGCTCAGTTACTGGAGCATTCGTTGTGATTCCAAGGACCTCTTGAGATTCATCAGCTATCTGCAGAGTACCCTGTTTTTACTTCAAATAAAAATTATGAAGTTCCTAGCGAAGTTTCTGATGCTGTCTTTCATCATCAAAGTGCTAAACCTGAAACTTGGGATGTTTATTATCGATATTCGACTCTAGAAAAGCTTTTAACAAGTACTGCCTACTGCCTTAGATTTATTTATAAGCTGTATGTTCACATCTTTACTAAGTCTCAATGAGATTTTTTAAATTTAAGCGTCACAATAAATAGTTTTAGTGCTAGCCGTACTGTTCCTGAACTTTATAATGCTAAACTCCTGATGGTTCGTTTGCATCAATTGACTCATTTTACAGCTGAATTTTATTTGCTCAATTCAGTCACTCATTCTGTCGATAAAGTTAAGCTCAAACTTCCGTCAAATAGTTCGTTGATCCCGTTAAAATCGTTAGTCAAAAATATTAGAGTGGGGGGTCGTTTGAGTCGTTCGTTGCTGCCATTTGAAACTAAGCATCCTTTAGTGTTGGCGGCTCACGATCACTTTACTGAATTGGTCGTAAACTATGCTAATAAGATCACCTTGCATGGTGGTCCTCAACTTACTTTGAGTACTATTCGTCAGGAGTTTTGGATTATCAGGGGATGACAGAGGATTCGTTCAGCTCTTGTAAATTGTATCACTTGTAGATGGTACTCTTGCCCTACCTTAACTCAACAAATGGCAGATTTACCTAGTGCTCGAGTTCAACCTGTACCCGCATTCTTAAAGACTGGAGTGGATTATGCCGGTCCATTTTTAGTTAAGTTATCTAGGTCTAGAGGTAGAGGTACTACCAAAGATTACGTAGCCGTTTTCACTTATATGTGTACCAGGGCTGTTAATTTAGTAGAAGATTATAGTTCTGACGCCCTTATTGCTGCCTTCCAGCGTTTCATTTCTTGTCGAGGCCATTGCTCCGATCTGTATAGTGATCGTGGTACTAATTTTGTGGGTGCTGATATTGAATTGCGTAGAAGGTGGTACGAATTTAAGGAGTGTAAATCTTTTCAGTATTTAATGAGTTCCTTGAAAACTCAATGGCATTTTAACCCTCCCGCCTCTCCGAATTTTGGTGGAGTCTGGGAATCAGTTGTAAAGTTGATGAAGCATCATCTTCGGTGAGTAGTTGGTAATTAGATGTTAACTTTTGTCGAATACTCCACACTGCTTTGTAAAGTGGAAGTTTGTATGAATTCGCGACCATATCTCCTTTAAGAGATGATCCTAGTGATTGAGACGTTTTGACCCCAGCCCATCTGCTTAATCTAAAGCCATTGACGCTGCTACCGGAGCTAGATTATACTGATGTTAAAATTTCATGTTTGCAACGTTGGTAGTTAATAACTTAACTTTCTCAGTATTTTTGGCATCGTTGGCATCAGGAGTATCTTACGAATTTGCAAAGTAGATCTAAATGGTATCATCCACAGAGATCATTAGAGGTAGGCGATTTGGTTTTAATTAAAGGTGAGAATACTCCTCCTAGTTGTTGGGTGTTAGCTCGAGTTGAGGAAACTTTTCCAGGTCCTGATCTATTAATTCGCACTGTTCGAGTTCGCACTGCTACCTCTACCTTTGTCCGACCAATTTCCAAACTTGTCCTTTTACGGATGAATGAGGATTTCTAGTTAGATTATCAATCTTCCTTCTCCTCTCGTCGAAGCAAGGGAGGGGGATGTTCAATATTTAGGTTCTAAGATTTAAGTTTACGCGTTTGATTAAATCTACCAATCAGCCACACTAGTACGCCGAGTTTTCAGACAACCAATCGCAATGCGCCGCGTCTCTTTAGTTAGTCAATAGCTTTGTAAAGTAAGCAGCGGCTTGCTCTTTAGATGTAGCTGCGCGATGTAATAGCCAGTTTGTACTCGGTCGTTGAGCAAGGTGCACGCACCTTTGCATGAGCACACACATACGCCTCTTTTTCAAAGTTTTACACGCGCACTTTAACGATCAATTTACTGCCGTTCTTTATAATTCGATTACTTCTATTACTTCTCGTTTTGATTATTCCGAATCTTTACCTCAGAATAGTAAAGTGTTTGTATCAATATTATTAATTTGGTGTTTCTATTCAACAAATACTTTTAAGAGTGTTAAATATAAATCAGTCTTATTTACTTAACATAGAAACAGACTCCCGCTCCAATACTCAACAACTTGAAATCATCACTAAGTGTGGAATGTATTCATTTTGGATCATATTTGAAAACATTAAAAAAAAAGGATTTCTGTCCTCTCGAACTATGTAAAATAATATATGATAATAATTTAATTGATATCTATCCTAACGTGTACATTGCACTATGTACGTATTTATGCATGATGATTAGCAATTGTTCAGGTGAAAGATCGTTTTCAGTACTCCGTAGAATAAA